CGATCCTTCAGAAATCATTCTAATATGCTGATTTGGTGCTCAAGAAACATCATTATCAATGTTGAAAACAGCTGTGCTGCTTAATATTTTTGTGGAAACTGACTTCTTTTTTGTAGGATTCTTTGATGAAGAGAAGTTCAATTTATGTTTAATCATTTATTTGAGGCATTATAAATGTCTTTTGAACTATTTAATGATCCTGTATGGCACAGCGCTGGAACATGACTCTTAGATTACTTAATCTTTCTTTAACCTGCTTAAATGTTATTCCGTCATTTGTTCCACAGGCTTTCTATAAGGGAGGATTGTAAAATAAAGCGAGTTTTTACGGGCCAGTCTTGCGGCTTCTGTGCGATTGCGAAGGGACTACACTGTGGTGGGTCTAACTCTGTGTGCGCTGGCAGGCCAATAAGTAGCTTGTTGCTCTCCTGTGCAGAATAAATGATGCTTTCTTACCCCCAAAAAATCCAAGTATTCACATATTCCCTGTCTCAAGAATAGTGGAAAAAAGCAAAGCTGATAGAATGGGTGCAGATGTTTACCACCTCCAACATCATGAGAATATGAATTGTCAGATGTTGGTTTCGGTAAAAGTAACATCATGCAACTGGAATGTTGATGTCTACTTACCAAAATACATGAAACCTTGTGCAACAGCCACCTGGAAGAGCACTCATCCTTTGAGCCAATCACTCAAAAAGCAATCTTTGGTTTTCAAGGTTGAAAAGGTCTTGGTAAAAAAGAAGAATGATGGCAATGTGCATACGAGCATACACACACATGCAGACTAGGAAGATCATTCACACATTACACCAATTAACCTCTATGGGGGGCGCCGCTCGATCAGCCGTGCTTCCCGCCGCGGTCCAGAGGAAGCTGGTGTGGTGGCCAGAGAGGACAGGTGAAAATAAACAGCTGGCTGGGTGATTATTTGTACTGTTCCACATCACATAGCAGCTCGGCCCACCATGATTGCCCTGCGGAGCCCATGGGAGCCACGCGAAGTTGCCCTGTCAGGTCACCTTTCATGGAGGAAATACAACAATAACAAAAACACTTTGTGGAATGTCAAAAATGTAGCAGGCAAATGAAATGGCGGTAACCATGGAAACCACTGAGTCATTTCGTGCCTGTGAATTTTCCAAACATCTGGTAACTTGCGTTAAGCAGGTGCAGGAACAGGTATGTTCCATTTGTATCTGCCTCTGGGCGCCGAAGCAGGGAAACATCAGAAAGATTCGGTCTGTTGAGAATCAAATTGAAATGTTCTCTCCATTACACTTCATATGACGGCTCTTCTGAGAATCGTAGCAGTAGAAGATTCACCATCTGATTATAGGACGGAACGAAGGGCAAAAATAAGATGCTCACAGGACGTTCTTACAGGAATATTCCAGATTCAATAGTTGAGGTCAATTGACAGCACTTGGCATAATGCTGGTTACCACAAAAATTGTATTTTTGACTTTTCTCTCCTCTTACTTTTCAGAACGTTTTTTTTTCAGTAGATGAACAACAAAAACATTGACAGCCAATCAGAAACCACCCGACCATCTTTAAAGAGGACGAGAATTTGAAGTGGCAGATGACAAAAGTGAAAAAGTGAAGCGTGTACTTATAATAAACAAAGTTATCGTCCGTTAATTGGTGTGGACACTAGTTAGCATTCTTGGTTTGATGGGCCTTAACTATAAAGTACAAAGTTGTATAAAGTAATAATCATTCTAATTACGAATTTTATCGCCTGTTGGTGAGGATGGTAATAAGGTTATCGTTCTTGGTGTGAACAGGCCTTAACTAAAAAGCATAAAGTTATAATAATTCTATGAGAAAAGAGAAGTCTTAGAAAAGTTTCTAAGAAAATAAAACATTTAGTCCTGGTTTGCTTAGCGTTCACACTGTCATTTTTAACCTAAAGAAAACATCCAAAACAAGGCTTTTGGCTTTGGGCAAAATGCGCTTGTAATATGTGCGTACATATGATGGCATTTTGACCAGCTGAGAACACGCAATAGTTTATAAAATGTGTAAAGGAGCAGCGCCAAATGAAAATCTGCTGCAAGGAGACGGTGGTCCTGATGCCTGTATCGAACTGTGATGGCCAACTCAGCTCCTATGACGAGAAAAAAAAAAGGTATAACACACCCTTCAACAAACCTGACTCGAATGCTTGAAATTGACACCAGAGAGCTTCATGGAAGGCACTTTGAGGACGTGAAGATGTTGTGAAGGCCCTGCTGGTGAAGAAGAGAGAAGCGAGAGAAGTCAGTCTAGTGGGGTAGTATGAGTATGTTTGTGCCAGTAAGGAAAATTCCCCTGTGGTGTGGAGGAGAAAGACAGAACCAACAAAAGCAACAAGCGCATTATGCCCACTGTGGCGAAAGGTTCTCGTCATTGTCCCAGCAAAAGAGAAGCAATGAAAGCAGGACATCAAAGGGCGAGCAGGAGAATGGGCTGTCTGAGCCAAGAGCTTTAGATCTGCTCTGCCCCCCATACATAATCACCCCGCCGGAAAATACAGTAGGCTTACAGGTAGAGGTCGAGAACACTGCAACGCGGATACTGGGGATGGGCACTGACTCTTAAAGCAAGTGCGATTGTTAGACACTGTTAGGGCTTCAATAACGCAAAGACTTCGAGTATACAGATAGCTAACATTTATACTGAATCCTAAAGTCTTGCCAAGCACATGTTCCTCCTCATTCTTCAAAGTTTCCTGACGTCATTTAAGTGTTTGGAATGACTTTATGAACCTCCTTGGATATAGATTCAAACAATTAGGCTTGCTTTATAATGAAAGGTAAACTAAGATTTAAGGCCAAAACACATACATATATCTATCAGGGTTCAATCAATTGCATTACATTTCTTGGTTTTCGAGGTCTTTGATTGATTAGATTGAAACTATTTTAATTAATACACTAAAATAAAGGTTCCAAAAGGGACTTTTCAAAAGTGATGCCATTGAAGAAACAATTTTGGTTCCCCAAAGAACCTTTCAGTGAACAGTTCTTAAAAGGACCACTTCTTAGGCCTTGTTTACACCTGGTATTAAGATGCGTTTTTTTGCTACTTAATACCAGGTGCAAACAGGGTAAAAATGAAGATAATTTTTTGTATATAATCTGAAGAACCCTTTTCCACTATAAAGCACCTTTTGTGCAATGCAAAGGTTCCATGGATGTTAAAGTTTCTTCATGGAACCATTAATGCCTGTAAATAACCTTAATTTTTAAAATAGTATGCAAAAGTATTTGCTACAGACATTTCTATGATTTTCCATGACTTTTTAAGACTTTGCATGACTTCCTAAGCTTGGAAATCAATATCGTCCTTTATAAATCAAGGTTTTCTATGGGAACCCATGCCATGATGCATGGAATTGTGGGTTAATTGCGAGACAGACTTTTTGTTTCTTTCGAACTGCAGACCCATACATTTATTTCACATTTTTAAAAACTTTGATAAATCTGTTCTTTAAAATCGTATAAAGGGTTTTTTCTATAAACGTGTGTGGCAAGACTTTTGTTAACAATAAACAGCGCGAATAGGCAAAAAAAAAAAAAAAAAAGGCTAAATGAAAACACCTCTGAATCCTTTAGAGAGAATGCCAAACCACCCACTCCATCAAACTAAACCTGCCAAGAAACATCAGAGAGAAACATGCTGTGCCACCTTCTTATAATATGGTGAAATGCTATAAATAAAGGCAAGGAAAATTAAACAGGAATTGCAAAAAAAAAAAAAAAAGGAGTATAGGAAAACGAATTAGCAGAGCATCTTCCAGACGCGTGGGATAAAGTGCAGTTATAAGACTCTTAACTAAATAAATCACTTCACTAAGACTTTAAAATGCAATCACATTTACATGGATAGTGTGCTTTAAAACTCCCAGCCTATATGATTGTGTGTATAGTCTGAGCTGTAAAGTGAATCAGTGTCTCTAGAGAATAGGATCTTTTGCTCTTGTCTCAAGACAGCCCTGCCCTGCTTCTCCAGAGACAAAAACACCGACATCAAAGCCTCGCTGTCATCACGCAAGAATTTCTGAGTGCCCCCATCCTTCAAGAACCAGCCACCCTGGAATTTTAAGTGGATTTCTCCATCCCATCTCTCCCTGAGTCTTTCTGAACAGAGCGGGTGAGGGGGGATCCAGGAGTATGGCTGGCAAATCATGTGACTTTTAAAACTGAGACCAAATGGAACTCCTCTTACTTGGTTTTCAATCCCAAATCATGTGCAGACATGCATATGATCCAGAAATGAAGGGTCTGTGGCAGTGGAGATTAATTTGAGAAGCTAATGACCTAAATGAGCCCTGATTTAATATCTTAGGCTCCAACAATTACTTGGTAACATTTCCAACATTATTGACATGGCAAAAATGACATACTGTAAACAATTTAAAATGATTGGGGTTGGGGTTCTTGGGTACTCTGTACAGATTGAAAACCCTCTACAATAAAAAAAGTTTTGAAAACGTTTTAAGCAAATTGTAATTGTTCTTTTTTTTTTTACTTTTCTCTGTATCCCCACATGTTCACTGTCATTGAGTGAACACTGTCATGTTCACTAGTTTAATTTGTATTATTTATTTTTGTGCTGAATTATAATAATTTATGCAATAAAAAAACAGATAAAGAAAAAAAGGTTGAAAATCCAGCAGCACCATCTTTGTTTTGATTTTTTGTGTGTGGCTGTATTCTCTTCAGTGGGTTGTACTGTTATTTAATGTGTTTTTGGATTGTTTTGTCGACGACACACCGTGAAAATATCTTTCCAAGAAATTTCAGTAGACAAAAACACGAGCTGTGAAATATTATAAGTGATCTAGAAGCTTTAAACAGCGAATGGCATTGAAAACTCGGCAAGTCTAGTCTCTAACCCTTCTCAGTCTCGCTTTCACTTCATAGCTACCTGTCATGGCGCTGCTCCGAATAAGGTCTCTATGTCCCATGCAAAAGAGGGTGTAATCCTGCCACCTATCAGTGATACAGTGTCACTGCATCCACGTTCCGTAACAGCCAGCAGCACTATGGCTGAACAGGAAGTGCCCGCACCCCTGAAATCTCTCAACTCGGATGATCCAACATTTATCTCCTTTGTTAACAAATCCAGTCGAAATGCCAAAGCATGGTGGCTAAACTTCTCGGGAAAACCCGTATCTTACGGCGACATAAAACCGGGGAAAACGCTCAAGATGAACACGTACCTGAGTAAGTTCGTTACCGTAGAATTAGCAACCTATCCGGTTTGTCGCTCCACTTTGTACTAAAGCAAGTATTTTTTCCAGCTCATCCGTGGATCTTCAGAGCATCTGACGGAGCTAAACTGCTGGCTAACCTCAGTGAAGTTTACTTTCCAACTCAAGCGCAGTATGAGTACGGATACCCGCAGTACCAGTCTGTGTGTGTGACTGCACCAGGTGCGAGTCCATCCTTCATCTCATGATGCTTCATATGCACTAACATGTACACTAGTTTCATTTCAAATAGATATCTATGTTCTGTTTTTGACAGTGTACTCATTACAAGAATATTGTGCACGGTTGATCCGGAGTATGGTGAGAAAAGAAGACATCTGCAAGCTGGAAATCCCCGACTGTTTGAGAAAAGACATCAGTCGTGAACCCGATCTACTGAGAGACATTAAGATGTTATCTGCCAAAATGTCAGTAAATGGTGCAGACTGATCCATTTCCCTCCTCCCGGTCAACTAGAGAGCAGAAATCATTTATGATATCAGATGTTCAAAGTGTGAAAGTATGCAGAAGCTCATAGTTTCACTTTCTTTGAACATGTGGACAAGTTGTTATTCTATGCAACGACAGGGCATCAGCACTTTCATTTCAATTTCCTAATAAGAGCACTGTAGTATTGGGTTCTACCTATTAAACAACTGAAACATCACGGGTATGTTGTGGCAAATAAATAAATACCACTTACATAAAATAAGATGGAATGATTGGATTAATATAGTAAAAGTCCCAGTGCTTTTGGAGGATATCATCACTCTTGGAATTCCGCTCAACCATTTAAATTCAAGGATAGTAACTAACTGTTGTATATGAAGACAACACATACAGGGTAAAATATTTTATTGTTATTACTCCAAATAACATTAAATTATAAACAATCTCAGTTTTTATTTCATACGTGACAATTTTGCCCTTTTAAAAATAAACCAAGAGCAATATTTCTCTATATTATGATAAATATTATTATGACTAATATTGCACTTTGGGTACAGGCATACAGAGATCCCTGAATAATGTTTTATATTTATTGATGCTTTTGAAACTAACTGCATGCTGCTTTAAAATCATGTTTATTTAGTGAACAGTATATTGTTACACCAAAGACTGCTGCAAATAAAAAAAAAAATGTTATTTTCAAGATGTTTGTGTTGTGGTTTCTTTGCAGCTCTTATAACTTTCATGTAATTCGGGCCTTTTAAGTCAAAGTGTCTAGTTACTTTAAAATCATAAACATTCCATTAACACATCCAAACTAAACTAAATATTGCAGGCTTCTCGTAACGTTTGTTCCCAAACCATTAAAGGGATAATTCACCCAAAAATGAAAATTCTGTCATTATTTACTCACCGTCAAATTGTTCCAAATACCATGGAAGTCAATCGGTGCTGTCAACTGTCTGGTTACCAATTTGAGGGTGAGTAAATGATGACAGAATCTTCATTTTTGGGTGAACTATCCCTATAACACTGATTCACAACAACACCTAAATACATATGAAAAATTTACCATGGATTATAGGTCACACTACATTCAAAAACAGAGGAATCCAATCAACAACACCAAGTTAAGTTGTACAATCATATTTGAAACATTCACATTTGGCCATTAAATTACAATTACAACTTTGCAAGTTGAAAGTTCACAGCTGGTTTGCAAACATGGGGAAATTACAATACACTAGCAGTGTCACGAGGAGCATCAACTCAATGCCAATCTAATATTATGCCAAAAATGAACCAAAATCAGGGGAGTTTGCTGTTAATGCCCAAATAGACAGTCTATAGACTCTATAGCACACACACTCCAATAATTCTGAACATTGCAAAAAAAGAAAAACTGCAAAGAATTTAATGGTTTATATTTAGTGCATGTATTTTTACAGATTTTTTTATCATATATAAATATTTCATACTATGATTCACAATGTTTTTTTTTTTTTTGCAGAGATCTGCACTTAATTTGGATTCTAATTAACAATACATTATAATTCGATTAGTTCAAACAGTGTCAAAATTTAAGTTAAAGAAAATCAAAGTATAATATTTTTGTACCACTCCCAGCACTGCACCCAGATTCACCTCTGAAATTGAAGAAGAGCATCACAACATTCAGTGTTTCTTCATGGAGTCGAGAATGCGCAGGATGTACAGGAACAGGTTGACTATGTCCAGGTACAGATTGATGGATGCCAGAACGTGTTCCTCGGGGGACAGCTTATGCATCAGCAAGTGGGTATCGAAAATAATGAACCCGCAGAACAGCAGAGCTCCAGCCCCGGCGAAGACCAACTCCATTGTGTCGTTGTAGAAGAAAAGCTGAAGGAGAGTTTGGCGTGAATCAAATTGTGCGACTTGACCACAAAGCTACGGGTTTCAGTACAAATCAAACTCACTTCATTTGATAATGTTAATTACAATTGAAGAAGAAAATCATTCCATAGAATAAATATAAAATAAATTAAATAACAAAGAATAAATAATATATATTAAATAACTATATATATATATATATAGATATTTTTTATATATGAACTATATATTTAACTATATATATATATATTTATTTTTATATTTTATTATTTAAAATATATTTTGTTCATATTTTATACCTAGAATGGAAGTAATACTCAAACAGAAGTACAGTTTTAACTTCTATTACTTCCAGAACATTCAGTTATACAATTGACAGGCCTCAGACTCACCCTCATAAAGCTTGCAATGATCAAGATCCACAGGCCAGCAAACAGACTAAAGATAAAAATGACCAATTAGGATTTTTCTGCAAGTGCATTATTAATACACAAAACCAATTTGAAGGACAGAGCCAGAACTGTTGCATCAAGTTGTCTATTAAACAATAATATGGATGCAAAAAATCTTCAATTCTCCTCACAAAAGACATTCACTTCTCCCATGCCGACGAGCGGGCCATGCACCACATCAAAAAAACAGAGTTATGACTCATGGAGCCCCGTTATTTTTGTTACATTTCAATTTAATAACTGGAAAGAAGAATGTTTCTCCAGAGACTATTTCTGACTCAAAGAACACCATTCCACATGGATTCAGGAGTAAATGGATTAAAACAATCATTCTTGCACTCAGTTACTGTGATGAATGTGACAGATCTGGGCCTTGAGCGGATGAGGAAGAGAGAATTACCTGGCTCCGAGCTTGCTGAAGTCTCTTTTAGACTGGAAAGTGTAGGCAGTGAGACCCAGGAACACGGCAGACGTGAGCACAAAGGCCTGAAGCACTATTGCGTACTCATAAAATGACACTGAAAGCAGAAAAATACGGTATCAGATGATCCATCACGGAGGTGTCCAATAATATTATGAAACTGGATGTTTATCAATTACGAAAATGCATAAACTTACCTGCAGTGGCTACAGACAGAGACTCCAGCAGAGTCTGCATAAACATGTACAGCCATTACATTATAATACTTCATAAATATGTAATATGTACACACACTGGCCACTTTATTAGGTACACCTTGCTTGTACCAGTCTGGACCCCGTTCAGAACTGCCTTAATTCTTTGTGGCATGGATTCAACAAGGTGCTGAAAACATTACTCAAATTTTGGCCCATATTGATATCATCACGCTGTTGCTGCATATTCATGATGCGAATCTACCGTTCCAGCATATCCCAAAGATATGCTCTATTGGACTGAGATCTGGTGACTCTGGAGGCCATCTGAGTTTAGTGAACTCGTTGTCATGTTCAAAAAAACAGTTTGAGATGATTTGAGCTTTGTGACATGGCGCGTTATCCTGCTGGAAGTAGCCATCAGAAGATGGGAACACAGTGGTCATAAAGGGATGGACATGGTCAGAAACAATGCTCAGGTAGGCTCTGGTGTTTAAATGATGCTCAATTGGTAATAAGAAAATATCTCCACACCATTACACCACCAGAAGCCTGAACCGTTGATACAAGGCAGGATGGGTCCATGCTTTCATGTTGTTTACACCTTACCATCTGAATGTCGCAGCAGAAATCGAGACTGATCAGAACACGCAACAACGTTGTTTCCAATCATCTATTGTCTGTGAGGTGAGCCCGTGTGAATTGTAGCCTCAGTTTCCTGTTCTTAGCTGACAGAAGTGGCACCGGTGTGTGTTCTGCTGCTGTAGCCCATTTGCTTCAAAGTTCGATGTGTTGTATGTTCAGAGACGCTCTTCTGCAAACCTCGGTTGTAACGAGGGGTTATTTGAGTTACTGTTGCCTTTCTATCAGCTACCAGTCTGGCCATTGTCCTCTGACTTCTGACATCAACAAGGCAGTCCCACAGAATTGCCAACCACTGGATATTTTCTCTTTTTCAGACCATTGTCCGTAAACCCTAAAGATGGTTGTGCGTGAAAATCCCAGTAGATCAGCAGTTTCTGAAATACTCAGACCAACAGCCAGGCCACATTCAAAATCACTTAAATTACCTGTCTTCCCCATTCTGATGCTCAGTTTTAACTTTAGCAGATCATCTTGACCATGTCTACATGGATTGAGTTGCAGCCGTGTGATTGGCTAATTAGATATTTGCGTTAACCAGCAGTTGAACAGTTGTACTTAATAAAGTGGCCAGTGAGTGTGTATATCATACTTAAAATCTTGTTTTGAGGTATATACTCACAAATCCAAACAGCAAATAAAGATTGACGGGGTGCTGGTGACGGTACACAGCCAATGCAAGAAGCAGGATAAGGGACCCGATAGCAGATATCAGCACCAGAGCGGGACTGAAAAATTAATGCAGTGGTTCACAATAATATACTTACTTACACAGCTTAAAGTGTATTTTATATCTATCAGCCACAATGATGTGGTGAATCCACAGGGAGGATGTGGTCTTACCTTTCGTGCACAAATGTTTTAATGGGGTTGCAGAGCATGAAAAGGGCAGATACAGCAGTGGTGATGATAATCTGCAGTGAAAGGATGGTGTAGACCTTGCGGAGGAAATCTAGAGAGAAATATGATTTGAGCGTCAACTCCTCAACCATATATACACACACATGTAGTAAATAAATAATTATAAGGTCACACTTTATATTAGGTGTCTTTAACTATTATGTACTTACAAAAAAAAAACTGTTAGGTACAATTTACTTATTGTGTTCAAAAATATGGATATGGTTAGAGACAGGTTTCGTGGAACTGAATTCTATATATTTACATATATTATAGCTAGACAGGGTTTATTTATTCTCAAACAAGGCGTCTATCATTCACACAAAACCTCGATAAGCAGGTTTGACAACTACAGGCAACATTTTTAAGAAACTGTATCATTTCTAATAAAACTAATAATGACATTGTGAAATCAATAAGGAATCCAACGACTCGTGACAGCTGATTTATATAGTGTGCGCCATATGTCTCCTGTGTGCCTTATGATGAAACCAAGTGAAATAAATGTAAATAAAATAGGAACCCCGCTCTAGCTGTTTCACATGTTTATCCTTTCCAAGTCATAACGTTAGTATTATACTGACTGCATTACTGATTACGTAGACTTTTATTGTAAACATCGGCTTAACTCACCCATCCGGATGTGCACACTCGCTGTCGCGACGTTCGTGCCATAATTAAAATCATCCTCAATAGATGATCGCGGATACTTCTCTTCATTCATGTTTGATCGTATTTAACGAGTATCATTTACTGACAAATTGTGATAATCCAAAGGTCTCTTCCGTCGTCTGCCTTTTTTCTTCTTTTGGTGGTTTATATTGTAAACATTCCGTAGCTCAAAGATGTGCTATTGCCACCTAGCGGATTGTCCCAAACCAGCAAGGTGGTACGTGGAAGACAAAGTAAAAAAAACAAACAAACGTAAAAATAAATAAATAAAAAATAAAATGATTAAAATATAATTATTCATCACAATAAAATGATTTAAATAAATAAATAAATAAATTATCTTAAAATAAATATAAATGTGATTAACATATATTAGTTATACGTCTATTAAATACTTTAAAATAAATAAATACAATTGTTGAATAATATAGATACAAATCCTGATTGAAATTAAATAAATAAATAAATAAAATGATTTAAATAAATAAATAAATAAATTATCTTAAAATAAATATAAATGTGATTAACATATATTAGTTATACGTCTATTAAATACTTTAAAATAAATAAAAACAATTGTTGAATAATATAGATACAAATCCTGATTGAAATTAAATAAATAAATAAATAATATATTTAACAGTACACATTAAATAAATAAATAATATATTTAACAGAACACATTACTATAGTGACTAGAAAAATACAACAATGTAACTTAATAGAAGCTAATTTCCGATTATAATATTAATTTAACATTTTAGGATGGGGGTCTCTCACACGAGGATGATCATATTTAGGAGTTCGTGGCATCTACAAAATTTACAACCCCTGCTCTATATTTCTGAAATAGTTACCGAATTAAATTTTCTGTCGGTTGTGAACTGCAATTCCCGATTGGTGAATGATTCACTCATTTGAGTCGGTTCTATTCAATGAATCGTTAAGCTAGTTAGCAAAAAGGTTCGCGATTTAGTCATTTGTTCAGTTCACAAACGCACTTAGCTAAAGCGGTAAAAAAAAAAAAAACAACAACACATAACGCGATACGAACACAAAGCACAGAAACACTGGATAAATTGAATATTTACCGAATGCCTAAGCCAGCGCATCCTGTCGTTTCCCTACCATTGATGAATTTCGTCAACACCTGCAGCTTGTGAACGACTCAGGTAAAGGCATTTTAATTTTTACCTACAAACAAAATCAAAACACAAAACTTAGTACCAAAACGTAATCATAATGCAATAATGTATATCAACATTAACGTAATCACCACGTAGGCTATCGTGTTTGTTTATTTGCTTTTTTACGTTAGCCTATCTTTTGAAACACTTTGAAGTATCATGATAGGGTACATGAACTATTGCTAACTATTAATTATTTAAATGGGTAACTGATTTATATAATTGCGGGTTCATTTCACTTAAACAAAAGTAAACAATATGCTTTCTCAAATAAACGACTTATGATGATAATAGGCCTATACTGTATTTCATCAGTGTAACATAGTTGACCAGCTTAATTATTAAACACCATTTTGATATTACAAAGGAAATGATATTTGCATCTGTTCTGCAATATATGTACAGACATTGATAAAAAATAAATTATATATATATATATATATATATATATATATATATATATATATATATATATATATATATATATATATATATATATCGAATCATGTTTTTGCATCATATTATTCAGTTCTATTACAATCTATATTTTGGATATCTCCTTCAGGGCCAACCTTACTTCTTACTGGGCCCATGTCTGACTTTAAACCTTATATGTATTTTGATGTAGACCTTGTTACAACTTGATCCAGTTTTCTCGATTTATAAAATTCCTGAAATGTGGCAACTTGATCCAGTTTTCTTGATTTATACAATCCCTGACATGTGACAACTTGATCCAGTTTTCTTGATTTATACAATTCCTGACTCATGACAACAATGACATTTGGAACACTAGTTTTGCATCACGTTTTTAAGATAATACCAATCCTCGCCAAACATCACCAATCAATTTTGGTCCCTCCATTTGTTGGTGTACCCTATATAGCACTAATGACAGGGGAATGACCTTGGATGACATGAATTCACAATTGTTCTTTGCATAATTGAATTCCAAACTCCTTAATTTAAATTTCCCAACAGGTAGCCCATGTTGAAGAATCCGCACCGGCATCTTCTTCCATCTCTTTTTTCCATTCTCAGAGGGGTTTCTTGCACCTGCATCCCTCCTTTGTGGTGCTAATCAGCTCACGGAAATCTGTAAAAAGACCCCGCCAAGAGCTCCACCTCATATTTAACCGACACATGTTCATTCTCAGATGATTCATCTTTCTGCTGTTTTTAATATTCCACTTATTGTATAACCCCAGCAGTGGTCGCAAAGTATTTTCCTTCAGGTTTAATTCCAACCTCATCTCCAAAGAGAATACTGCTGTCTTTTCTGTGGGCTGGATTTACCCATTGCTTCGAGCATGTAATGACAATTCCCGCGGGATTTGGATATCACTAGAGTTCCTGCAAAAGTTGCTCACAGTCTCTCCTGGGCATGCTTTACAAAATGCACCACTGCCCATTGCTTTCCCCCAGGAGCTTGAGGTGGAAGCCATTTCTCTTTATGGAGTCCACACACAGCATTTCATTAAAGCCTGTGTGGAGCCAGCCTCGGGGATATGGCCACATAATTCATTTGGAAGTACACTGTCTCCTCCATCCATTCCCAGGTGTTTCTGAATAACCTTTTGGCTTTCTTGCATCCAGGGGATGCTTTCCATCACATTTCTTTCATGTGGCAGTAGCACATAGTGGTACCTCATTTTCTGTTTCCAATCCTTGCTTTTCCCTTCATACCATTTCAGCTATTAGGCTAATAGAAAATTGTTACATACCAGCAATCTTAAGTGAGCATTACAGCCCAGGAAAGTCTTTACAACCATCTGCAGGCAGCAGATTTACCGGTAGGTAAAAATAGGTTGCCTATGTTTATTTTAAAATAATTTTGTAACAACTGGTATGATTTCAAATAAGATCGTATTTAATTTCTGATGCACCATTCATCTTGTGTAGTTCTTGTTACACAAAAAACAGCCACTAGGCCTAGTAGATTTAAAATTTTAAACAACCTTGGTAATCATATTTACCTGTGAGTCTGTACCCCGAATGACCACCAGATGGCGCTCTCATTATAAACAGCAAACATGACAAGCAGAGTAGGTCTGGGGAAGCTGCTTTGGAACTGTATAGATTACCAATGGGGTGAAGCTTTGCCCAGCGTCCTACATGTCATAAGCAGTGTCCTGCATTTCAATTGTGTTTGTATTTACTTCTCCATGAAATTACAATACAAACTGTTGTAATATTCTAGCTTAGTGGTTCTTTACTCTCGCCCTCGAGGTCCACTTTGCAGAGTTTTGCTCCAACCCTAATCAAACCCACCCGAACATGCTAATCAAGGTCTTCAGGCTTACTAGGGCTGCGTCCGAAAACTAAGGCAGCTGACTTGTCGCCTCGCAGCCTTGTCAGGCAATGACTTTGTAGTGTTTGTGCACAAAGGTACCTCACAAAACTGATTTCATGCAGACTCCCGAGGCAGCGTAATGGTTTAATGATCAACAGCAAAATAAAGCGAGCTTTGGTGACAACTATAAGCAAATATTTAATAAATAGTAATCTCTCACTAAAAAATGACATCAGAAGTGAAAAACGTATTAAACACAATCTGACCACCAACTGCAGACACCTCTTATTAAAGAGTGAAAGTGAAAGATACATGTATGCCTTCAAAAATCGATTAGATGAAGGTATCTCAGGAGACAGGAAGTGAAGCTACCATTTGGACTTGGACGTGCCTTAATGCCTTCCAACCTTGGAATGCATCCTCCGAAGGCAGCATTTTTAAGTTGTCGGACACAGCTTAGGGTTGCATTCGAAAGCTGAAAAATTCCAAAGTAGGAAGGCATCAAGGCACGTCCGAATCCAAATGTTTCCTTTACTTCCTGTCTCCTGAGATACCTTAATCTGATCGATTTTGAATCCTGTGCTTTCCATTCACTGACAGTTGAGCTAATAAAGATGGCGACTGAAAGTTGTGGTTGGTGGTCAATTTGTGTGTAAAAGCTAATCGTTTTCCACTTCTAGCATGAAATTACTATTGTAGTAATTACATTTTTGCTTAGTTATCTACAAAGCTCGCTCTATTTTGTTGTAGATCATTAAACTGTGAACCATATCAAAACTGAACTTGCTACATCTGCCAGAACTTCTACAGACACACAGGAAGGCTCGATTTGTAAAGCGAAATAAAATGGACCCAAAATTGCCTGCCGAACATTATAGGTTGTATTTTTAAACGGAATGAATATTTTGGAAGTGAAATCTGAATTATTGAATTTTTAATAATGAAAATGTGTGTGAAATGTTTTGAATTGAAATATTCACAGCTTAAATATACAACCATGTTGAATTTCAGCCCATCACAATGCAATGCATATTTTTTCGAGTAGGCCAATTCAACAAGCTTTTTTGTTTCGAAAACATTTGGCATTATTTTACTTCCATAGATCCGACAAAAACAGGCCACAAGTTCAAGATTCACTGAATCTGGTAAAAACGTATGTAATCTCTGTAAAGTCTAACCAAGGACTGCTTATTTATGTTGAGTGGACTGAACATGTTCTCTGTTATCTCACTCGAACCTGCAAATTGAGTGCCCTGTAAAGAGCAATAACCAGGTGGTCACCCTACTTGTCTAATTTAAAGTAGAAAAGGTTCGAACAACTGAAAGCTTAATGGTTATGTATCTCAGCCTCTTAAGAAAGAGTTACTGACATCGATCCCACTCCATCAGCACTGTACCCTGAGCATGACACTTACCACCTGCTTACTCAGGGAGACAATTGCTGAAAATGCTGCTATAGTCACTTTGAATAGAAAGCAATTAAATGGCAGAGAAGTAGCGAGTGCACAGACTCTACTTATTTTCTTCAAGTTTTTCATTGAGTCATTCATAGGTTTCCTTTCATAATCCAGACTTAATCTTAGTGAAATGATAGGCTACACCTTATTTTTGAAGTCGGTATAAAAGAAAATTCGCCTATTTTCTAAATGGATCTTGTTCATTTTGAGCAATT